AAGAATGAAACTCGACCATTTTCTTACACCATATACAAAAATAGACTCAAAATGGATGAAGCACCTAAATGTGAGACAGGAATCCATCAAAATCCTAGAGGAGAACACAGGCAGCAACCTCTGTGACCTCAGCCACAGCAACTTCTTGCTAGACACGTCTCCTAAGGCAAGGGAAATAAAAGCAAAAATGAACTGTTGGGACTTCATTAAGATAAAAAGCTTCTGCACAGCAAAGGAGTTCCATTTACAATTGCACCAAAAACCATAAGATGCCTAGGAATAAACCTAACCAAAGAGGGAAAGGATCTGTACTCAGAAAGCTACAGAAGGAGACTGTCAACGAAACTAAAAGGCAACTGACAGAATGGGAGAAGATATTTGCAAATGACATATCAGATAAGGGGCTAGTATCCAAGATCTATAAGGAACTTAGCAAACTCAGTACCCAAAAAACAAATAATCCAGTCATGAATTGGGCTAAAGAGATGAATAGACATTTCTCCAAAGAAGATATACAAATGGCCAACAGACACATGAAAAAGTGCTGTACATCCCTTGGCAACAGGGAAATACAAATCAAAACCATAATGAGATACCATCTCAGAACTGTCAGAATGGCTAAAATTAACAAGTCAGGAAACAACAAATGTTGGCGAGGATGTGGAGAAAGGGGAAACCTCTTACACTGTTGGCGGGAATGCAAGCTGGTGCATACACTCTGGAAAACAGTATGGAGGTTCCTCAAAAAGTTGAAAATAGAGCTACCCTAGGACCCAGCAATTGTGCTACTAGGTATTTACCCCCCCCCCAAAAAAATTCAGTGATCCGAAGAGGCACCTGCACCCCAATGTTCATAGCAGCAATGTCTACAATAGCCAAACTGTGGAAAAAGCCAAGATGTCCATCGACAGATGAGTGGATAAAGAAGATGTGGTGTGTGTGTGTGTGTGTGTATATATATACACATACAGTGGAATATTAGCCATCAGGAAGGATGAATACTTACCATTTACATCGATGTGGAGGGAACTGGAGGGCATTATGCTGAGCGAAGTGAGTCAGTCAGAGAAAGACAGTTATGGTTTCACTCATATGTGGAATATAGGAAACAGCACAGAGGATCATAGGGGAAGGGAGGGAAAACTAAATGGGAAGTCATCAGAGGGAGAGAAAAGCCATGAGAGACTTTTAACTGTAGGAAACAAATTGAGGGTTTCTGGAGTGGAGGTGGGTGGGGGCATGGGGTAATTGGGTAATAGGCATTAAGGAGGGCACGGGATGTGATGAGCACTGGCTGTTATATACAACTGATAAGTTATTGAACACTATATCTGAAACCAATGATGTACTATATGTTGCTAATTGAATTTAAATAATAAAAAGTAAATAAAATAAGATAAAATATTCTTTAGTAAATGCTCGTTGGTAATAAAACCAGGTTTGAACTCCAGCCTATAGACTTGGAATGTTATATAATTTTTTCTACATTGTACTGCTTTTCCTCTCTACTGGAACTGGTCAACCTCAGGGGTGTCTTTGTCCTTGACCATACCCGCTTTGCCTTCTGTTTCTCTTATTTCTTCTACCTCCCCTGAGATGCTACAAATTTGATTGCTCTTACTTTAGAATCCATGGACCCTAATGACTTCATTTGACTTCTTATCCTGCCTGGCCTATGGGGGCATGATCAATTATTTCAAAAACTACTTTCTTTATTGTCAATTGAATTAATAATTCTTTGTCAATATATACAAGTAATATAAGAGTTATAAAGTTTCCTGACCTTACATTACTTATTATTCCAGAATCTTCTCACCTCTTGACTTTATAGAGTCTCTAACCCTAATCTTGGGTCATTATATTTTTGCTTCAGAATGAAGTCATGAATCAGGTTAACGGGGTGTGGGACACATGTATGTTGCATAATTTCATCTAGGCTGTAACCACATCTTTTTGTAAAATCTATTATTTAAATTTTTTTTCAAATCTTTTCCATTCCTCTCAAACTACCAAGTTGCTTTTCTCATTTAGATTCCCACTTTCAGTGTATGGTCTTGCCTTCTACTTGACTCACTTTTGTCCTTAGTTGCTTTCTGGCCCAAGCTGCTTTCTGGGGATCAGAGGCCCCTTGAAGTCCTTGATGTTGTTGAAGACGTTTCAGCAATATCTCTGTCATGCAGATTGATGGGTAAGATTTTTCTTAAGCTTCATTGCCACAAAAAGTTGTCACTCTTAAGCAGCTGATTTGTTTTGAATCTATATACACTATAAATATTTTGACTAATCATGATTCTCATTTTATTTTGTCCATTGAAAACTCAGCAGTTTTTGCTGTCCACACTAACAACTATATATGACCTATGACATTTAATTTCATGTAATAACCTTACCCCTAGTTTTATCTTTTTATATAAAATTCTGTTAATATCTTCTTCCCTGCCTTCTTCATCTACTTTTTGTCATGTTGGATTGCATGTGTTTCTTTTGTTTTGAAAAGGTAATATACATACATGTTAATAACATTCAGTAGTACAGAAAGCACACATGGAAAAATAAAATTCAATGTAAAAGATAATCAGCAAAATGAAAAGCTGTTTGTTGTGCTGAGGTTTCAGAAAAACTGTCAGAAGTCATTTTAGTAATAAGTTCTTTAGCAGGAAGATGAACTAGTAAAGGTTCACTTTAACTACTAGGAGTTAGGCTGAGCATGATATAGCTCTATACACAAACAAGCATGGATGGTATTCTGATAAACTATTGCTACTTAATTTACACTAATTGATGAACCATCAGCTTTTCTCACTGGACATTGTTTTATAGCTTTGTGCAACTACCTAAAAAATGTTTCAGATATCTTGAAACTTAACTCCAGAGAAGATTCCCAGTTTTCATTGAAAAAAAGGTAATTCTTAAGCAAGTGTCTCATCATCTTTTCTTTGGATGTTAAGAACATAGAAACAAATAGAGTAATATAGAGAAAAATATGTCCAATCCTTTTTTGTTGTTTTCTTAACAACTCTAGCTCATATAGTAATTTATAGTACAGTATAACCACAACAATAAAAGGTCTTAAGTCAAATCATTGAAGAGGGGGTGATCAATTTTTCCCTTAGTTATAATAGGAATTTTTTTTTTTTTAGTTTCAGAGGTAGAGTTTAGTGATATAATAGCAAATTTTTGAATGCCCACTATATGCCAGGCTCTGTACTTATTCATGGAATTTTGGCAATCTATTATGTGCCAGGGACTTTGCTAGGAACTGGTAAACAAAACAGATACGCTACCTGCCCTCATTTAATTTTTACACTAACTCTATATAAGAAGTATTTTATGGCTGAGAAAATTTGCAGCTCAGAGAGGTTAACTAGATTTGTCCAGAGTTGCACAGCCAATAAATGGTGGAGCTAGGATTTGAATATAGGTCTGTCTTATTCCAAAGTCTGTTCTTCCACAAAGTTACAATACTATGTACAAGTGTGCCAGAGGGGTGAGGGAGAAAGTTATATAAAGGCATGGAACCCGGTAATTTGCATTGCCTAGATGAGCCTGCTGTTTTATCTGTCTTGGATAATCCTGTGTAGATGATTGCTGCAGCCTCCTCACTGGCCCCCCTACAGTCTATTCGAAACATAGCAGCAAGAGTGACCCTCCTAAAATACAGACTCTATCAGGTCACTCCTCTGTACCGAAACCTCCAGTGGAAGTTCCCCTCCCTATACCTGATTCCTTCTTCCTCCATACCTTGAAATAACCACAGCCATTGCTATTAGTTTGTTGTATATCCTTACAACTTTGAGTATTGGTTTATGACCTTTTTTATTTAAACAAAAATAGTTTCAACTATATGTATTCTGGCAAATTGCTTTTTCCCTTGTATTTACAGTTGAATATCATATCCTGTGTTCTTAACATGAGATATATATTCCCTTGATATGTATTGTGATAAAGTAGAATGAGGAAAGTTTTCTGTTTTTATGAGATCCAAATTACATGACTGTTCTATGCTGCTATATAATTGTGAATTTTATAGTCATAAAACAAATAGTATCTTTTATAACAACTATATTTTTGTAACTACAGCATGAAATAACTCATTTTAAAAATTACCATTGCATCGGGGCACCTGGTTGCCTCAGTTAGTGGAGCATACAACTCTTGATCTTGGGGTCATGAGTTCGAGCCCCATGATGGGTGTAGAGATTACTTAGAAATCTTTAAAAAAAAGAAAAGGGGCACCTGGGTGGGTCAGATGGTTAAGCGTCTGCCTTCAGCTCACGTCATGATCCCAGGGTCCTGAGATCGAGCCCTGCTTTGGGCTCCCTGCTTGGCAGGGAGCCTGCTTCTCCCTCTCCTTCTACTGTTCCCCTGCTTGTGCACTCTCTCTCGCTCTCTCTCTGTCAAATAAATAAAAATAAAATCTTAAAAAAAAAAAAAGAAACAAAAAATGCCAAAAAAATTAGTTGCCATAACAGTGTAATATTTGTTATGCTGTAAGATTTATCACCAGAGCAAACTCTTTTTTTCCTTAAAGATTTTATTATTTATCTGTCAGAAGAGAGAGAGAGCACAAGCAGAGGGAGTGGCAGACAGAGGGAGAAGAAGACAGAGGGAGCCACCCAGGCATCCTGATAGCAAACTCTTTAACTGTACATGACATGACATAGATGCTTAAATTTTAAGTAATTATTAGAATTTCTTCTTTACCATAGTTAACCCTCAGTTGAACAATTTCAACTGCTTTTGTTTCCCCTCATTAGTAGAGATATTAAGGGTATGTAAACTAAAATACAAGAGAACTGATGGCCAATAATGGAGCCAGCGGACTTGGCTCTACATATTCAAGGCTAATTAGTTATTTGGTAAATGAGATGTGCCATTGTAGGTAAAGACTACAAACTATGTAAACTAAGACTTGCTTTTGGTAGAAAATAGGATTTCATTTATTTCCCTGTTTTAGTTTTGTATTAAATATGTTAAAACCTTTTTATTTTTAATTGCAGTCTCGAGTTATAGCTATACTGGATTGGGAGCTTTCAACCATTGGTCATCCTTTGTCAGACTTAGCTCATCTCTCCGTATTCTACTTTTGGCCACGGACAGTCCCAGGGATAAATCAAAATTTTTACTTTCAAGAAAACATAGGTATGAAACCATAATGTTGCCTAAATTGCTATTAATATCAAATTATATTTATTCTTCATAATTAAAAGGTAAGATTATATTGTAATTTTAGATAAGTAGCTTTTATTTGTTTCTTGAAATGTTTCTTTTTTTTAACGATTTTATTTATTTATCTGAGAGAGAGAGCGTGCACGAGCAGGGGGGAGAGGCAGAGGGAGAGGGAGAAGCAGGCTCCCCACTGAGCAGGGAGCCCGACTCGGGACCCTGGGATCATGACCTGAGCCAAAGGCAGATGTTTAACTGACTGAGCCACCCAGGCACCCCTTTTGAAATCTTTCTACATCATTTTATTCTTGATTTTTCTGAACAATAACCTTTCACTTTTAGTAATTTATGATAAAATGTAAACCTTTATATACATCATTCTTTTGGAAATCAACATTCAGAACATGTTTGTTATGTGGATTAATGGTTATTCAGTATTATATAAATATGTGATATTATTACATTTGAAATATTTACCATGATATCTGTATTAAATTTTATAGTGTGTGCTGTTTTTATAGGGATACCATCAATAGAAGAACTGATTTCAATATATTGCCGCTGCAGGGGAATTAATTCTATTCTCCCTAACTGGAATTTCTTTCTTGCCCTTGCATATTTTAAAATGGCTGGAATAGCACAGGTAATTGATTTTTCTTAACCTATTTTTCACCATTATTTATTAGTGTACTGTTCATGATATTTTCTGGTCTTCAGGAGTTTTATGTTTTTGTTCTTAGATCATTTTGCTTTTGATAATGACAAATACCAGGCATGGGTGAATATGAATCCAGAATTTACAGAATAGGAATTTGGCAAGGGAAAAAATTGAGTAGCAAAATGTGTAATCATTTTTTGATATGATAAACTTAAGAGATAGGGGAGGGAAGAGAGATAGAAATAATGATAAAAAGAGCAAAGCATGTGAAGATTGGTTATTTCCTGAATATCCAATTTAAGAAAGAGATAAAATCTTTTAATGATGTCTGTTTCAAACTATAAAACCATTTATTAACCAGGGCTGGTGATGAGGAAAGAAATACTTTTGCATGTCCCAAAGCCTAGCACAGTACCTAGATTATAGTAGCCTCTTAATATATATTTTTGAGAGAATAGATGAGTAAGATTTTCCATTTTCTAACAATGTCATATTTATGTGATTAATTTTAAGAGGAAATTGAGCATAAATTCAGTTTTTTTAAATTACAGCTTAATCTAAAATGTATTTTTTTAGGAGGGAGGGGCAAAGGGAGAGGGAGAGAAAGAGTCTTAAGCAGGCTCCATGACCAGCACAGAGCCTGACATAGGGCTGGATCTCACAACTCTAAGATCATGACCTGAGCTGCAATCAGACTCTGATGCTTAACCGACTGAGCCACCCAGGCGCCCCTAAGATGTATTTTTCTTTATACTGATTTAGTTTCCATGTGCTTTGAACCTCAAGAATTTAAGAAATTGAGATGCTTCATCAGTGACAAAGTACTAGGGCTTGGAGGAGTAAGTAAATAAGAGATTTTAGAAACAACAAAGAATGGGAAAAGGATTAAGGGTTTTTTTTTCCTTGTCTTCAGAGTCCATGCTATCCATGACTAATTGAAATGTCTTCTAGGATATATAGTTGTATTACATCTCATCCTGTATTTTAGAATCATGTTAATCATGTGGGTTGGATGGGTTTCTCAAAAGAGGATTTATGGTATGTTTTTTGTATTTGTCAGTTTCCACAAATCAGATACCAAATGGGCTTTGAACTTAAAATGGATTTTCATTTCAAACAAAAGTTTGACTTGGGTTATGTTGTAATTAATATGTATGTCATAGACTATATGTGGTAACAGGGATGATCATAAACATTGCATTCTAGCTACAAATATGAAATTGGAAATGATGGAAGGACTGTTAAGAGAGTTATATTGCATAAAGAATTACATGAAGAAATAAAACTAATGAAATTCAGTTGATTGTGTTAGGGTGGGATGAGCAGGGGAGAGGAGAGTGTGTTAGCACAGAACACGGAGAAGAAAAACTAGTTAGCATTCAACTAACTCTGTTCGAGGAGACAGTTAATTAAACTAGGACTCCAAAAAAATGAGAGAAAATATTCTTAGAGTTCATCTCATTGCCTTCTCTTTAGTTTTATAGTTTTTAATTTTATCTTGGTTTATTTAGATTTTCCCCCACTATAACAGGAGAATAGTGATTTTTTTTTAAAGATTTTATTTATTTATTTATTTATTTGAGAGAGAGAGCAAGAGAGCATAAGTAAGGGGAGTGGCAGAGGGAGGGGGAGAAGCAGGCCCCCCACTGAGCAGGGAGCCTGAAGCAGGACTCAATCCCAGGACCCTGAGATCATGACCTGAGCTGAAGGCAGATGCTTAACCGGCTGTGCCGGTGTGATCTTTAAAGTGATCTTTAAAGATGATATAAGGTGATGCCAGTTTGGCATCTTTGTTAACTCCTAAGTTCATTATCAAGTTTGATTTGATTTGATTTCCAGTTACAATTCTGTTAGGATGAGAGTGTGTTAAGCAAATGATGCGTGTATACCTCTTTAATTTAGGGGGGTATAATTATCCCTATGTATAAATAAATAGAATTGATGGTCTAATTTACATCTTGATACCTTGTGAGTTTAGTGACTCACACAACTGGGAAACTAGAGAGACTGGATAGCTGAAGAACAGTTTTCAATGAATCTTAATTGCTGTATATTAATTTACTTACAGGGAGTATATAGTAGATATCTTCTGGGAAATAATGCATCTGAGAATAGCTTTCTGTTTGCCAAAGTTGTGCAACCTCTGGCAGAAACTGGATTACAGCTTTCAAAAAGGTAAGCAAAATCAATTCCTTGGCTAAGTCAAATTAGAGCCTTTATTAGATATATGAAGGTTGTAAACTTCAGGGGAATAGGGACTGTTTTTATTGCTTACACCAGGGTTACTGCTGCCAATAACAGCAGTTTTTTGGTAAATATCTTATATGCCTGAAAATAAAGAAAATAACCCAGATTCATGATTAAAAGTTGTTTTTTTGGTTTTTTTGCCAACTTGAGCATATAAACTTTTATGGAAATGTTTCTTTTTGTTTGTTTCTAATTTTTTTTTTTTAAGATTTTATTTATTTATTTGACAGAGAAA